GGCAGCTGTGTGGATGATGGGTGGGAGATGGGAGAGACTGAGATCGGGAAGATTATGCTGCTTGAATTAAGAGAATGAGACAGATTTGAAAGTTGTTGATATAGAATTAAGATTTGGCAACTTAGTGAATATGTGGGGTGAGTGTGAGTTAACTTGAGGAAGACACTAAGCTTGCAGATTTGGGTGTCTGGAAAGATGGAGAGCTTGAAAAAAATAGGAAAGTCAGGAAGACAGTTTGAAAGGAAACAGTATTTTGGACATGCTGAATTTTAGAATTGGCAGTTGGAGGTTCGGGACTAGATGTCAGGAGAGACATCAGGGCTGGATATATACATCTAAGAGTCATCTACATAGAGATGGTAATTGGACTCAAGGAAGAGAGTGTGTGTGTGTGTGTGTGTGTGTGTGTGTGTGTGTGACAGTGACAGAGAGACAGACAGAAAGAGAGACAGAGAGGAGGGAAGAAAAGGAGGAATGAGAACTATGAAAGTTGAATTGCTATTTTTTTTTCTCTTCTGTTGAGTTCTGTTTCCTCTTTCTGATGGTTCCTCCTATTGGTTTTAATTTTTACTTACAATACCACTAATGTGAAAATATGTTTAATGGGAATGTAAATGTATAGCCCGTATCAGATTGTGTGCCATCTTGGGGAGGGTGATGGGGAGGAAGGGGGAGAAAAATTTTAAACTCAAAAGCATGTGGAAGTGATTATTGATAAATCAAAATAAATTAATAAAATTTTTTAAAAAGATGTTATTTTGTATCATCTCTAATATGAATTTGTCTTCTTAGTTACTTGTCTCCTAAAAGATAAGTACAGGGGGAAAATCATTTAGGGCTCCTGATTTAAAATCCTATTCTTCTTCTTTTGGTTTTAGGATATCCTTTTTCCTACTTTTTTCATAGTAAACATATCCTTTAAAAATAGATCCCTGGTGATTCAAATTTAATGTGCCGTCAGATTTTTTAATGTTATTTTATAGTCATTACTGATATTATTTAGTTGTATCTTGTAACTCATTTTTATTAGTTTGAACAATAGAAATAAGGGAAGCAAGTCTTAAATGTTAGACAAATACAGTTAGAATAGAAAACACTTTTTAATATTTATTAAATTTCAAAGATGGACTGAAATAAATTCCTTTTTCAGGTAAAATGTTATTAAAACTCTCACTAATAATTATCTTTGTATGTTTAAGAGTACTTTTAACTCAAATATGTGGGCAAGGACAGCATACAAGAGTGACTAAAATGAATTTCCCTAATCTCAAATATTTTGCTATTTTATTTCCTAGCATGTATCATGCATATACAAAGCATGATATTCCCTTTGAAGGTGAAACCACTATTTAAAAAATAAATAATGATTTTTTTTTATTTTAAGAAGTACATCTTTTAATTATTTTTTTTCTAACTGATCCATACACTTAAAGTTGGGATGTGATTTTTAAAGTATTAGAATATGAAGGTCAACATAGATGATAAGAATTCATATATTCAGGTGAAGCAGCCAATGTATTACAGATATTGTAAGAATGATATAATTGGATTTGTGATAACTGGAAGGATAAGGATTAAATGAGGAAGCAGACATGCTTTCTGATGTGGCCAAATCTATGGAAGGTGCACTGCATGAGAAACATATGGAAAGGGCTTCTTTGAGAGCATACGGAGATGACACTATTCAATAGGGGAGATATGGAGAACCATACTTTCCAGACAGCTGTCTCTGAGAAGACCAGTTGTCTCCAAAGCACATTGTATCATATTACAATTATCTTGAAGTCACAAAATGGTTCCCTTTATGTCAGAAGAAGGGGAAGGGAAGAGAAGAGAATAAGCATTTATATAGCATCTACTATGTGCCAGGCACTTCCTTTATTATCCCAGATGTATTAATGTTGTCTGTACAGCAGCTTTTCAGTTACAAGTTCTCTCTTCTTCTGTAGACAGTATTATGTTCCTTCCTTTACTTATTTTAACCTTTTATTAGTGTGTCCCTGTTCTCCCTGACTTTCTTACTCTCACCCTTGATGCCTTCTTCTTTGATATTTCCCCTTCATCTCCTCCCCTTCAGTCCTGTTCATTAGCTTTTAAATTCTATTTTTGAGCCCCTTTCCAAAAAGCATCTCTCACTTTCCTCATTATCCATTTTCTCTTTTCTAGACTTTCATTCTCAAGATTTATGACCCCTATAATTCACTGTCTCTTTTTTTTCCTCAGTATTCTTCATGCAACCAAAGCTTCCAAGGCATCTATTCTAGGATAACTTGGTCTTGGTCTTGGGAGCTAAGTTTTCCCTCTAGGCATTGTTTACGACTTCCTTATAGGACTTGCCCCATCTGTTTCCCTTTTGCAGTGTGCTTCCCTTCAGAACAATGCCAGTTATTGCAGGTGATAGAAGACATTGCCCTGTGGTAGGGCCCTCCCCCACTGAGATCATCCTTGATTATGCAGCTCACCACCAATCTATACCCTCTCTTGTTGACCCTTTTTTTCCCTACATTTGCATGGAAATTTCCTCCCTGTGTCATTTCTACCATTCCTCCAGGTGACATTTGTCCCCAGGGGGTTTATTTCCCACCTCTCAAGACAAGTAGAATTCTTAAGCACCAGATCTCCTAGGCTTAATTCTACACCTCCCTTAACTGACCATTTCTCATTATCCATAGGAACATTCATCAGTGAAACCCTTTCTCATTTCCAAAGTGAGACCTCTTTCCTTTCCTCACCTCTTCAATTCCCCACCCCCATGCCCCAGTCCACTCTGCTGTAGGCTCTAATCTTTCTGAGACCTCAGAAGTCACCTTCCAGTCATTGCTAGATTTGATCTTGGCATATCATTCACTCTTCTCTATCCACCCTGCTCCCCACCCCTTTACATACCCTCCCATGTAATGTAGCCCCCCAAAAGAAGCAGTCACCTTCAGTCAAGGTATCTCCCAAGTTCTGTCTGTAATGCCCTTTGTCTGCCTTTTCCTCCTGTAACCTCTACCTTCACTCTGTCACCTTTTCTACATTTAGAAAGAAGTCTCTTACCAGATTCTCTGATGTCACTATTGCTATCACTGTTCTTGCCTGCTACATTTATTCATTCCTCCTGCATTTCTGTTTGGGTATTTGAGAGCAAATAATCTCTTCAGTTCTTATCTTCTTTCTAATAATGTTTCAAACTCTTCTTTATTGTTCAGTATCCATCTTATGTCCTGTATGGTTAGGGTCAGATTTGCAGGATAGGTCATCCTGGGCTGTATCCTGAGCTCTATTGCTCTTCAAAACTCATCATTCTGTTCTCTTTTGTCTAGTGGGTAAGAATAGGTTTACTTTATTAGAATGTCTTTTCTTTTGTATTTGAAAGTCTTTCTCCTAATGTCTTGCAGAACTTGTTTCTGAATTGAATTGCTAAATTTAACCACCAGGTGTCTTGCAGTTTGCAGTTGGGTATTTTTTTGGAGGCAATCTGCAAATTCTTTCAATTATAATTATATTTTCTTTGTTTAGAAGTTCTGGGAAGTTCTTTTTTATTACCTCCTTCATTGTGGAGCTAAGGTTTTGTTTTTGTTTGTACATCCCATGTTAACTTTCAGTATATTTTTTTGTTTTTTTGTCTTTTTTTTGGTGCGGCAAATGGGGTTGTGACATGCCCAGGGTCACACAGCTAGTAAGTGTCATGTCTGAGGCCAGATTTGAACTCAAGTCCTCCTGACTCCAAGGCTGGAGTTCTATCCACTGCGCAACCTAGCTGCTCCTCGAGTTCAGTATGTTTTGTTTACATAGTGATAATTCTTTTAAATGTTACAGTTTTTTACTTTTCTTCTTTTAGGTTGTCCTTCATTTCTGTGTCTTTGTATTTCTAATTTATTGATCTGTCTTTTATTTCTTTGGTAAGGTTTGCCATTGAAAATTCAAATTTTTCTATTCTATTCGTTATTTTTGATGTGCAGGACATAAATGCTGTTCTTAAAATTCCCATTTCTCTTTTAAGCCACTCAGGAACAGTGTGCTGTTGTCCCATGTTCTCCTCTAACTCCATAGGCTCCTTGGTCTTGTCAAGTATTTCCTTCATTTTGTTGTGTTTGTTCATAGATGCCTGAACTAGTTTACTAGATCTGGAGGCCTTATTTCTTTCCATTGTTACTGTTTTTTCCTGTTGATTTATCTGTTGATGTTCAAGGTCTTTAAGTTTTCTTCTTTCTGAAATCTTTGAGACTTTCATTCTTTTTGGCTACTTATTTTCCTTATCACTCGCTTCCTGATAGCCTTCTGATTGTGGTTTCCTTAGGGGCTGGATCTCAAAGTGTCTCAGGCTTCTCCCAAACTGGACAATTCATGGTCACCAGCATGACTTTTGGGTCATTGGAACTGGACCCAGCTGGATTTTGTGATCTTCTTTCAGACTTTGAGGAGTCCCTCAAATGCAGTGTCCTGTCCCAGTGCCCTGTCCTACTTCCTCTGTGTCTCAGTTCTCTGTCGTAGCCCTGGCAGTTTAGAGTTTTACAGCCTTGGTGCTTTCAGGTTTCAACCCCTAAGAAGGCTTTTGTTCCTGAAAAGTTGTGGCCAAACTGACTGTCAAGACCCAAGCAAAGTTCCACAGCCTAAAGCCAGGGGTCTCCAGAGCAACAGAAAGAGAGAGAGTGAGGACCAGGGTATGGAGTGAGTTTTGATGAAAGGCTATGTCCTTGGGTCTGCTAATGCAGCTTTGGTGTTGGCAGTAAGGGACGCAGGAGAAGGGGGCTGAGTAAGTGAATGTCAGTTCTGAGATTTGGGGGGTCTTTTTGTACCTTCTTTTGTATTCTGGGTGTTCTAGAACATGGGGACAGCTGAATTTACCTTATCTTTATCTTTGGTACCGAATTTCTGTTTTGGAGAGGTTTGAGAGGTTGTGGGGAACAGAGAAAATGTCTAGTCCGCCCTCTTGTTTGACTTTAATTTTTTTTTAATAGCCATTTGACCAGATGTTTGAAAACATATCTTAGATTTTATTTTTCTGGTTTTTTCAGGCATATAAATGGTATGAACTTGGGCACAAGAGAGGTCATTTTGCATCTGTTTGGCAGCGTTCACTTTACAATGTAAATGGACTTAAAGCCCAGCCTTGGTGGACTGCAAAAGAAACTGGTTATACCGAGTTAGTGAAGGTAAGTGCCAGTGTCCACTTAGCCCCAGATCATCTGTGATCTCAAGAAAAGATGCTGTCAGCTATGTAACATGAGGATGGAAGAGGCAATGAAATTAGGACAGATCACCAACAGATACAGAATTCAGCTGTTTAAAGATGCCTCCACTGCGAACCATATCACACTGACTGTCACTTTCTCCCTCTTTAAAAAAAAAGACATATGCACATGTGGACATGACATTCCTGAAGAATCCATATTTGCCATTAATTAGGGGAGAGCATGTGCAAGACAGACATGCCCTTGGCATTTTGGAGTCAGAAGGGAAGCACTTTCAGTGGAGTATCTCTTGCAACAGCCTGTGCCAGGTGCTGGTGATACAAACAACAATGAAACAATCTCTACTCAGAAGGAGCATGCGTTCTGATAGGGGAAACAAGAGGTACATATATGAGTGTGTTCAAGATAAACGGAAAGAGAATAAATAAAGCTAAACACCAAATAGTTAAGTGCAAGGAGTTTGAGAGGGAGGTCATTAGCAGCTGCGGGGATTAGGAAAGGCTTCATGTAGAAAGTGTTGCTTGATCTTGAAGGAGAAGGAGGATTCCATGGGTGGGCTTTGCTTATTGGCTGAGCACCTAGTAATGCTTTGGTCCTTGGAGGCTGGCTGCTTTGTTCTCAGTGATTTTCTTTTTCTTTAGTCACTTTTATCTGCCCCTTGGATGATAACACACGTATATACATACAGACTCTTCTACCGAGGTTACTTACTATTTTCTATCAGATTAAAGTTAAAGTTCACAGCTTCCATATCATTCGAGACTATTTTTTCCTAGGGCAGCTAGGTGCCACATTGGATAGAGCACCAGACCCTGGAGTCAGGAGGATCTGCGTTCAAATTCACCCCAAAAGGGGTCCTGAAGAGTCAGACATGAATGAAAAATGACTAGACAACAACAAGGGGCAGTTAGCTAGAAAAATAGCCAAAGTGATTTATCCTTCTTAACTAGAATGGGCACATTATTCTCTTCCATTGAAGCTTGCTGTTTAAGGGATTCCTTTATGAAGAGCTTAAACTTCTAAAAAAAATGGCAAATCACTAATGTTAGTCACTTAAAACCCACTTTCCTGTTAAGCTTACTTGATTATGGAAGCTTTACTGTTTAGGGCAAAGAAATCTTCTCCTCAGCCTTGCCAATCAAGTGTCCATTTCCAAATCCCATTTTCCTAGGGTTTCCCAAAATGGTACTCAAGCTCAGCTTATGTGAGCTCCTGCCTGGTGTAAGTCCTGTATTACAATGGGGAAAAAAGAGTATAAATTAATAAGAGTGGCTACACCAATACCAAATTCCCTAACATTAAATTTGCTTTTGAAACTCAGTGCTGTGTGATTTGCTAAACTAGCTATGTATGTAAAGGTTGTATTTTTAAAATTGACTTGTGACTTTTAAAACTACATACATATATGTATATATATGCATCATGTATATATGTGTATGTGCACTATATATATATTATATATATATATTTTGCACATGTGTATTATATATAGTTATAATTACTTACATAACTATTTAAGTATACACACACATGTATATGCCATATGGACTTTTAAAATTGATCACTGACTTAGAATCACCATAATAGGAGACAATTTGCTGTCAGAAAAAATCCTGGTGTTCAGTAACCATTTATTTGACAACTAATGTTGTATTAGGATGTAAAACTAAGGCAAACCATTTATAACAATTATCTTGACATTGGCACTTGAGTGACTGCTAATCAGTCCCAGAGATGTGTTTTGTGAGGAGGCAAAAAGAAAGCAATGTTCTTTAGGGCGTGAAAATAAGTTAAATGTGTGATTCAGGACAAAGAACATTGATGCTGGCATCAGAAGACCTAAATTCAAACCCTGCCTCTAAGACTTACTACCTGTATGATCTTGGACAAACCATCCAACCTACCTGGGACTCAGTTTCCTCATCTGTTCAGTGACAGATTGGAGTAAAGACCCCTTTAGGCTCCCATCAAGTTATACATCTATGGTCCTATGAATCCAACATTATCTGGGGACTTTTTTCCTTACTAAATAATCATAATTTATGCTCATTTTGGTAGCTCTTTGCATAGGTTAGCCATCAGTGCAACTGGACACAATAATTTGCAGGAGAATTTCCAAGTTTTCTCTCTTAGCTTCATCTCATTAAAACTGTGAGGAATGCATCAAAGCGCCAAGTGCCTTGGGGATATTTAGCATAGAAATTGAAACTAAGATGGATTAAGGTTTTTGCAATGAAAGAATCCCTCTTCCAGCCAGAGAAAAGCCCCCATACCCTAAGAGTGCTTTTTTTCCCCTATTTAAAAAGATTGTTCATTCATCCACACAATGCTGCTGCTAATTTCGATGTAAAATGCACACTTCACAACCATTAGAGTAACACCAAAATCACTGCATTAGCCAGTAGAAACAGAAAGCTGGCTAAAAATTCTTCTTTTGTATTTGCTTATCCTGACTCTCTATAATCATCATGTAAAAAATGATGGTGAGAAAACAGCTCTTGAAGCTTTATTTGGATTTCTCAAGGCATGTGCTCTGATGCAAGCAAACAGCATCACAGATAATTTTGTTCTTTTCTCACATTGAAGTTTTATTGCTTTTGGAATGGATCCCAGGATTACTTTGCCAGTTGTTACGCAGTGAGGAAAAATGATTGATTAAAATAGCATTTGCACTGTCATTTTTCTTCCAGAACATGGTTTTTATTAATTGAGAAATTAATTGTATATGAGTACTTTCACCTGGAAAAAAGAAGACACTGCTAACCCAGCCCATTCAGCAGTGCATTAGTAGTTTTGAAGTTAGTTCCCAAGCAGCCAATTATCTGAGTGATTTTTTTTGCTCTTAAAATAAAATGGATTACAAGAACAAAAAAAAAATGAGATTTTATGGTAGAATTTAATTATAACGTAAGATTAGCAGCTTAATGTAAAATAAATGCCCACAAAATCAAGAATAGAGTAAATGGAGTTTCTTATGATTCATATAACATCTAAATCGAGCTCTGTTAAGTCAAGTTTTGAACTCTGATACACTGGAGAAAGAATCCTTACTAAGGATGAAAGCAAAATAATGTTAAGTCATTAGGTGATCTAGTGATGGACTAGTTTATTATTCTTATTTCAGTGTACATATAACAAGCATCTGCATTCTGTTGTAAGAATAAGAATAGCAAATACTTACATGGAATCACAATGCTACCTGGAGTATATGAATGTCAAATTCTTCATCTCTGAACATAATTGCAAACACTTTTAAAACTTTCTATAGAAAAAAGTGTGCCATTTCTATTTTGGCCGATTCTATACATGGCCACTAGTAGGTCTATCCTCAAGAATGACCTCCCACATGGACCATTTCTATAATTCCTTCTTTTTTGTTCTTTTTACTGTGCCCATTGGAAGTTCTTATGTATTATCCACAAGCTTCCTTTTATTCAGATCTTTTCTGTATTTTAGCATTAATTGAAACCTAACTTTTGCCAAGATGTTGATACTACCTCCTTTACCGCTGTCTATAGTGCTAGTTATTCCCTAGTTCACTGAGCCAGGAGGAAAAACTAGCACGTTCTTTGTTTTCTACTGATATCTCAAGACATATTAAAATCATCAATATTCTCCCATTTACCTAGATTCAAAATTGTAAGAGTCATACTTGACTCTTCCCTCTCCTGTTAGCAATCCTCACCAAAATCATAGTTTGGATCATTAAAGGAATGCTTTGTGAAAGGGGAGATTGTGATGAATATAGGGCAGCATGGGAAGAACAAGTCATACCAAAAAAATCCTCATTTTCTTTTTTGGTCAGTTAGGTATTAGCTGATAAGGGACCTGATCTAAGGATAGTGTGTATGGATTTTAGCCAGGCATTGGACAAGGTCTCATATGCCTTCCATGTGGACAATATAGTGGTTATACAATTGTGTGCTTTCAAAATAGGTTGACCAACTGGATCCAAAGAGTGTTAATTATTAGCTCAATATCCATGAAGAGTCCTAAAGGAGTGGTACAGGATTTGACCTTGCTCCTCTTCTGTTCAACTTCTTTATATCTGTGACTTGGATGATGGCATAAGTTGCATTCTTATCAAATCAATTGCAGAGGTCTGAGAACGATAGCTAATAGATTATAACAACAATAATAATAGCATACATTTCTGTACTAAGTTAAGGTTGACAAAGCCCTTTAACATATATTATTTTATTTTATATTCACAACAGCTCTGAGAAGTATGTGCTCTAATTATTTCCATTTTACAGATGAGGAAACTGAATTTGAGGTTCAGTCTGAGGGTAGGTGACCTGCTCAGGGTCATGTAGGTAGGTAGTGAGTATCTAAGAAAGAATTGGAATTCAAGTCTTCCTGACCATCAAGTCTATGCTAAAATATCTTAGCAGTCTCAAACAGCAGGCTGAAAAAGTAAGGTGATTTATATGTGGCTTCAATGTGATTTCAATGTGGATTCAATATGATTCAATATGGCTTCAGTTCAAGGAATAAGCCATAGAGCTCCAGACTTACATCAATAGCTTCCAACCTTTATTTGGTAATGCCCACATCCCTTTATTTAAAATTCTCATCCCCTCTGACTTTTCATCAAATAATCTACAGAGAGATTTTTCTTAGCTTTTATTTCATTCACATAAAATGAAGAATTTATTACAGTGTATAAACCAATCTTAAATATGTAATAAAATAATAGCCTATACCAATATGTATTTATCAATAACTCTTTTACATATTTGTAACTTTGTAAGTATATTAATGTTTTTGGTACAAAAATTCTCAAAATATGGTATCATTGATGTTTTGCTACATGTAATTCTTTCTGACACATAAATCAAGATTGAAATTCTGTTTTTTGAAAACAGCTGCAGCAGAAAATCTCATTTCACACAAATAAGATGTTATAAATAGTAGGATAATGTATATCACTTTGTTTAATAAACTCTTTATTTAACCATAGCCAAAACATAAAAAGACTTTCCAGGTTCAAGTGTGTATTTCAATATATTGTAATAAGAGGAGTCTATTAAGTGGAGTCAGATCAAATGAATCATTTGTTCCTGGCAAATGGGTTCCTTATCCATTCAGATTTAGAAATATCTAGATCTTTAAAACAAGATGAGAATTGCTTCTGTAGATTGGTCAAGGGATTAATAAGCAGGCATTTGTTTTCTTTTATTTCATTTGCCGAGAAGGCATTTTTAAAAATTGTGAAACATATGAAATACTGTTTTTTACATTTGCTGTCCATGTCTTTTACTTTTTTATAAATTCATTCATTTACTGTCTTGCTGGGTCCAAGTTTGAATTTGAGGACCTTGCCTTGATTTATTTAGAGAACTCAGCTTTTCAAAATATCCACCAAATTTTCAAGTTTCTAAAAGGATTTTTAAGTGAATTTGCTTCATCTTTATTATCATTAAAATATACTTTTTTTCTGTTAGGTTAATCACCCTCCTAAGTACATTAACACAAAAAAGCCAGCATGTTTCAAAATAATTTATATTCTGCCCTCAAATATACTCTGCTGAAAATCTAGCTAGCTACTCTTGTAAGAACTTAAAAAACTATATGTAACTGTTTGGTCATATATCTTGGTACAAGTGATTGTCTGTGAAGCATGCAATGTGTCCAAATTATACAAGAGATCACATTTTAAAATAGCATTTGTAGACCTGGGTTTTACAGAATATTCTATTCATAGCCGGAAGTCCTATAATCTTTGCTATTTAAGTGTACAAGGACCGTGGTTATGGGGCAGAGGGAGACAAAATGCAACAGATGAGGGTAAGGTCCTGAATGGGAGTGATGAGACCCACAGATTTCTCATTTCTAATTTCCCATAGTACAAGTTTCAGGTGAGATGAATTGCAACTGAATATGTAGACAAGACTGATTCCTTTTCTTTATGAAACACAATTAGTTAATGGGATTCACTTGTCAGTTTGTAGAAGCAAACCACCTAGAACTAGATATTTCTACATTTGAAAGCAGTGTCTCAAACTCTGTTGGCCACAGTTTTAACATGCTCATTTAATTCACATCCCTGCTCACAAATCTTTATCCTCAAAAAGCCTACGTACCCCTGGGAGGACATAACATGTACTGAGATAAGTCTATCAGTGATTAAGAAGGAAAGATAGCAAGTACTAACGACTAATATGTACAATCTAAGTAAGGTCTTTACAAGTAAAGGTTATTTCATTCTTTATTTTCGTATCCCAAGTCCCTTATATAGTGCCTGACACATAGTAGGTGCTTAATTAAATTTGTTGTTTGACTGTTGATTGAACTAACAGGATTGCAAAAAGCTTCCCACCAAAGAAGACAGATAACCTAAGCTTTGAAATAAAATAGGGATTCTAAGAGACAGAGGTAAGGGGTGGTGAATTTCAGGCATTAGGAATAGTTTACAAAAGTTTGAAGGCAGGAGATGAAGAGCCAAGTTCAGAGAATAGCAACTTGGCCAGTCTGACTGGAATGTAGAATGTGCAAAGGGAAGCAATGTTCAGTGATTTAGAAAAGGTGAATTTGAGCCAGATCATGAAGGCCTTTAAATATTAAGCAGAAGAATTTGTGTTTTATTCTAAAGGCACTAGAGAGCCATTGAAGTTTCCGCCGTCCGTAGTTGTCCTCCCTTTCACAGCCACAACCTAGAATAAGATATATGTTTGTTAACCTTCACTTTCTCACCTCTTATTTCTCATCCCTTTATTGTCTGTCTTCCAACTGCTTCACTAAAGTGAAACTGCTCTCTCCAATGTTAAAAATAATATATTAATTATCAAATCGGTTGGCCTTGCCTCAGCCCTCATCTGTTTCAGCCTCACTGCAGCATTTAATACTGTCAGCTACCACTGTCTTCTGGACCCTTTTTCATCATTTTTTTTTCTTTTTTCCTTGATAACTTTCCTTGATTCTGTTCTCTGTTCTACCTTTTGTGTTTCTCCTTTTCAGTCTCTTTTGCTAGATCATGTGTGTGTACACATATATGTATATTATATATATATATATATATATATATATATATATATATATATATATATATATATTAAAGGGTGGTAACAAAACTGTTTTATTTGTATGTCTTTTGGTTCTTTTTAGCTGTCTGTCCATTTTTTTAAAAAAGTTTGGCTGATACTCTTTTTTTTTCATATCTATCACTTCCCACTAACCTATCCCTTCCAACCTCTCTCCCAGAGTTGAAGACTTACTTACTTTATAACATATACAAATAGTCAAGAAAAACAAATGAAAGGCCACCTCTAAGAATACAAATCTCATTTTTTATCTTGAATCCAGTACCTCATTGTCAGGAAGTGGGAGCCATGTTTCATTCTCAGTCTATGTTCTCTTTTAGTCTTTTGGTGATCTCATCAAATCCTATTACTTCTATGCAAATAGATGCCAATTCTACATATCTAGCCCCTATTCTCCTTAACTCCATTCCATATCACCAATTACTTGTTAGATATCTAAGGGAGGGCACATAATGCAGTGAAATGACCATTGACTCTGGAGTAAGAGGACACGAGTTCAAATCTTACCTTTGACATTCACTGTCTATGTGATCTTATGTAAGCCATATAATTTCCCCAAGTCTTTAATTTCCTCATTTCTAAAATGAATGAATTAGATTAAATAGCTTCTGAGGATCCTACTAACTTGAAATCTATAAACCAATGATATTCAACTGTATTCGTAGATAGCTTGAATTCATATGTTAAAAAATAGCTAATTACTCCCAAAGTCCCCTCCTCTTTATAACTTCCCTGGTTTTGTTGATGACATCATTATACTTTGAGTCACCGTGATTCACAACCGCAGAGTTAATGCTTGACTCTTCATGCAGCCTTACCTTTCAGTTTGTATCAGATGCAAAGTCTTGTGCACTGTTTCTACAATGTATCTTTCATATATCCCTTTCTTTGGAGTTTCTCCCATAGCCACCCACCCTGTTTCAAGGCCTCATCTTGCCTGATATGCTTCCTAATTACCATCAATCTACCACTCTGAATGCATAGTCTTTTCTAGTGAGATACAGCCATTGTGATTTCCCATTACCTCTAAAAGTTACGAGTAGAAATTACAGAGGGAGTATGGTAGCCTGACTGCTGACATGATATTATACATATATACATATACACTCATAGAAACACACACACACATACACACGCACACATATATACATACACACAAATGAGATATACACACACATATATTTGGACCAAGTTCAAATAGCAATTTTTTTATTTCATATATTTTTATAAATTGCTATCAAAATCCATAGCAGATACATTGTATATAATTTTACAATTTTAGTATTTACCAAATTTTAATACAACTTTTTTAGTATATTCTGATGAACAGTGAAATTGTAAGCAATTCATCTTCTAAGTTTTTAGTGCCAAGATTGCTAGCCTGAGCTTGCTACAGTCTTGGTATGATAGGAGACAGGTAATCAATACCCTTAGCTAATGATATCAATACCAATAATACCAATTGCTTATAATATTTTTAAAAGGTCTACTAATAGCCATCAAGAAAAAACAAAATGAACTTAGAGGATTGTCCTCTGAAAAGGATAGAAATTATCAAAATTGTTATGATTATGAAAAAAACAGTATGACTTTTGTTTCTATGTCCTTAACAATGGGTATCAGAGAAAACTGAAATTAATGAAACCAGATAACTGTAAATTTCACTCAATATTTTATTATTGTTATTTTTTAAAAGTTTAATATCATTATTCAAGTGCTCAGTTTGGACACATTTGCAGTAAAAATAACTATGGCTTTCTTTTCAGACCTTAGAAAGAAACTGGAAATTAATTCGTGATGAAGGCCTTGTGGTGCTAGATAAAACCAAAGGTCTCTTCCTGCCTGAAGATGAGAATCTGAGAGAAAAGGGTGACTGGAGCCAGTTCACTCTATGGCAGCAAGGTAAATACCTCCATTAACAAAACATAAATAGCATAAAACTTACATAAACATTTTGTCAAATATGAATTCTTGGCAGTTAAATAAGATGGACAGTTTGTAAAGCCGTGATTTCTGGAATCTGTTCATTATTCAGTTTGTACCCTGTTTGCGTGTGTGTGTGTTTATATGTATGTGTGTGTGTGTGTGTGTATATATGTATGTATATGTATGTATACATATATGTATATATACATACACACATATTTTCTTATGTTATATGCTGATTATATTTTTATCGAACTCTATTTCTGATTATATTCTTCTAATCACAAATTGTAAATTGAAAGGGATTTCCAGGATCATTTAAGGCTTAAAAACCTCTTTAAAAAAAAAGGTAAACCCACTTAGTTTGTTTTTGTTGTTTACATTAAGGTAAGGCATACATTTATCAGCTACTGTCACTTTTAGCAGAGAGATAGAGCAGCAGCAGATGTCTAGATAGCTGAAGTACCAGTCTTAGCAGCCTGTAATATATACCTAGAACCATTTCACTTCTTTTTCTGCCTCCATTGAGCCTTCCCCAAAGGCTTTTTTTTTTGAGACTGGGGGTCTCCCTATCTTGCCTGTGTTGGAAGTATAGTGTCCACTCATCCCGTGAGTGATTGACATGGAAGTGTTTCTCCCAGGCTGTTTCCTCTTGTTAGGTATCTTGGTATGGCCCCTGCCCTCCCTGGGGGCTCACCATATTTGTGCCAGACTTAATGCAGCTTTAGCACCAAGTCTGGCTTTAGCATTGCTGCAGCTCAGAACTCCCATACTTAAGGGATCACCAGCCTCAGCCTCCCTGGATTACAGGTGTGCTCCGACAGGTCTGGTTTCTCAAAGTCTTTTTACCACAATTCTCTTCCAGAGGTCCTTCCAATATTGTATGCATGAAAACTACTACTCCTGTGTCCAGACATAGGAGTGACACACTGCAGATGTGCTTTGCAGAGCCTTCTGCACTTTGTGACCCTATGCCTCAGACCAACCCTCTCTGCTTGATGGAAAGACACTGAGCTCAGGTGCATTTCTTACCTAGAGTGAATAGCACTAACAATAGCAGCAGCAGCAGCAACAGCAAAAAACAACATTAGCTAGCATTTATATAGCGCTTTAAGGTTTGCAAAGCATTTTATAAATATTTGAAAAACAACCCTGGTAGGCAGGTATTATTATAATCCTCATTTTACTGATGAAGAAACTAAGGCAAACAGAGGTTAACTGACTTGCCCAAGATCATATAGCGAGTAAGTGTCAGAGACTGGATTTGAACTCACATCTTTCTGACTCCAAATCTGGTCCTCTTTCCACTGTTCCCCCTAACAGTAATTGTTTGTTTTTTCAAGATTCAAGTTTGCCAGCTTTCAAATCTACTGCAATAAATGTCCAGCATCCTGGAAAATGCCCTGGGAAGTAGAAATAACGATATCTAGCTGGATTCAGGCTCTGTTACTCAGTATGTGTCCTTAAGTGATTCACTTAACCCCTCGGAGCCCACATTTCCCTGTTTGTACAATGTAGATTAAAATGCATGCCTTGCCTACCAACAGAGTGATGATATGAATAAAAATAATGCTGACTGCTTAACAGTCGCTGCTGGGAAATGATTCAGTTTCTATTCCCTCAAATGAAATAATGTTTGCAAAGGGCTTTGAAGACTTGAAAGCACTAAACGTCAGTAATTATCCCTGTTGTTATGCACCACATAGAAACACCTTTCCCAGTATTCTGCATAGGAATACATGATTCTGGCTGCTCTGGCCCTGTTTCAGTTTGACCTGAAGTGGCCAAGAGCTGTAGAAACATATACTATCTATTAGAAATGAAATAATAAAGGACGTATTTAATGAAATATGTGACTGCTCTTATATTGAAATATATGACTGGAATCAAAAGACCCAGGTTTGGAGTTTGGCAATGATTTACTGGCTGTGACCTTGGACAAGTCACTTTAACCATCTGTATCTCAGTTTGTTCATATGTAAAATGGCTTTGGTCATCTCAGTTTTTTTCTGGCTCAAAATCTATGATCATTTTTATCTTGAGACAGCATGGCAAGATCACTGGACTTGGACTAGACAATCTCAGAGTAAAATCACGTTTCTTGGAGGAAAGATGATTTATAAGAGCAGATGAGATCTATTTTCAAGAATTAGATGATAATAATGGTAATAATAATTTGCATTTATATAACAACTTAAGGTTGCAAAGAGCTTGTCATACATTATGTCATTTGATGCTCACAATAGCTGTGTGAGGTAGATGCTATTAGTATGCCCATTTTACAGATGAGGAAACTGAGTCTCAGAAAGGTGATGTTATGGTCACACAGCTTAGTAAGTATCTGAGGAAGGATTCAAACCTAGATTTCCTGACTGAGTCCAGGGCTCTCTCTAGTACACTCTGCTACCTCTGAAGAGCTGCTTTGTGGAACTGTTATTTTACTTGGCCCCATGGACCAGGACTAGGAAAAGGCAATGGAAGTTGCAAAGGGGCAGATATCGGCTTAATATAGGGAAAAATTTCCTGTCCATGAATAAGAATGGAATGTGCTACATTCCCCAATCTTGACTCTTCCAATAGAAGCTGAATGTTGTAGAGAGGGTTCCTGTTCCTATTGGACTAAATGACTTCCATATTTCCCTTGGAACTCAGATTATGTGATTCTGGAATCTGTACTATAGTGACCTGTAGAATCGTAGACTCAAGTCACAATACTAAGAACCATAAAAAATACATGATAAACTTTACTGCTCTGATTTTATCACCTTTGACTCAGAATCCTTTAATGGTTTCCAATAGCTTAAAGACTGAAGTACAAAATGGCATTCAAATCCCTCCACGATTTGTCAATGTTTCTAGTCTTAACTTCTTACTATTTGTGTATGAAACACAAACCATTTTATCTTGCATCCAGGCAAGCAGACACAGTACTTTTTGGACAGTTTGGTACATCTGTGATTTTGAGATGTTAGAACTCCCTCCAGCAGAGCAAATTACAACCTTACGTGCCTTCTCAGCCTCTTGTCCATGTCAACCCATAAATCCTACTCCAGGGGTCCATTAAATCTGCTGTTTTATGCCTTACTTGACATTTATAATCAGAACATCACTGAACAACATGATCTCTGTTGTTATGTCTTTCAAGGAATCTCATATTCTCTTAAGTTCTGCATATACGTGGTTGGAATAGACCCCTTAAGGTGGCATTTTATAATTAAATGCAGGATTTGACATAATTGTTACTTCCAACTTTGGATTAACAGAGAACAGGGAGAATTATTTCAAAATATTCTATGTAGAGATAAGCTGGCCACTGAAAGAGGAAGAAGAAAGACCTTTCTTGGGAACCCTAGGGATAAAAAGGACAATATAGTGTGAATGGAGATAGATGGACAAGTTAAGAGCAAGACTTTTGTTTACCTTTCAATGTCATATTGAAATGAGTCAGTACTGTTGGCAGTCAGGAGTTTTTTGATGCTAATAATAACAATAACAAATCACATTCCTCACAACAGCTCTGTGAGGTAGGTAGTTCAGGTAGTGGTACTGAAATTTTACAGTTGGGGAAACTGAGAACTTAATGACATTCTACGGGTCACAGAGTCAGGACCTGACTCTGGGTTTTCTGATTGCAGTCCCAGAACTCCTTCCACTATACCACATTGCCTCTCAGTTTCTTTTCATTAAATATCCTTCTCCTAGAATAGTTCATTAAAATCTTAGATACCTCTCAAAATAATTTCTAAACAGAAAAGAAAAAAGGGAACAAATGTTTATTAATCTGCTAAGTGTCAGACACTCTCTTAAACACTTAACAAATATCTTGTTTTATCCTAGCAAGAACCCTAGGAGATGGGTGATATTATTAATCTCCATTTTACAGTTGGGAAAACCAAGGCAAGCAGAGGTTAAGTGACTTGCCCAGAGTCACACAGCTAGTGTTTTAAGTGTCTGAGGTTGGATTTGAACTCAAGTTTTCCTGACTCCAGGGCCATTGCACCACCTCATTGCCTCTGAACAATGCAGAATCTGCTGTCAAATGTGTTTAGTAAGGTACAGCATATGTACCAAGTCACTAGTGACTAAGGTGAGAAAAGAGAAAAGTAATTTGGAGTTAACAGTTTGGCTATCAGTTTATTGGCATGTTATCACAATACCTGACACACGTGGATTTCCTGATTATTTTGAGTTATAAATTTGCATATCAGTGCAGATTATATTTCTTTTTTTTTTTTTGCTAGGCAATGGGGTTAAGTGACTTGCCCAGGGTCACACAGCTAGTGTTATGTGTCTGAGGCTGGATTTGAACTCAGTTCCTCCTGAATCCAGGGCCAGTGCTCTATCACTGTGCCATGTAGCTGTCCCTCACTGCGCCACCTAGCTGCCCCCAGATCATATTTCTATATCTAAAATGTATTAAGATCTCTTCTTACAGACCTAGGAATTAATCAGTTCACTAATCTCTATTGGAGAACTGATTCCAGAAATAGTTTTCAGTATAGGAGCCATCCCATATATCTCCACACAGAAGAGAATAAAAATGAATTTAAATAAATTAAGTGAGTAAAAATCATCCCCACTCCCTTTTCTAATTGTAGATGTTAAATATGGAATTCAGAGAAACGCAATATAGATGCTTATAGTTTTGCTGCACCTTGAGGGTGATTATCAGGGGGTCTGTCCTAGGTCTAAACAGTAAATACCAGATAAGACCTGATTAAAAATGGCCACCTACAGTTCCTGTGTTTTCACCTTACCTGTAAACAACCACTGGAAGGTTTGATGGTCTGAAGTTGGACTTTTTCTACACATTCTTCACGGTAGATTTGTCCTCTAGGAGAAAAGTACTTGGAGTACAAGACTGAGCAACATATACATAAGGACATTAGTTTGTATATGACCTTCCATCCTCCCCAAGAGCTGTCAGAAAGTGTGGACCTAGAAAATGAGAACATCTTTTTTTGTTGTTAGTTTTT